GGGCCGAAGAGAATGAGGTACACCCCCTTGGTTCAATCTTGGTACCTCACAACGCAAGCAGGGACAAGGCCATCTGGCAGAGAAAAAGAGAGAAAAAGAGAAAAAGAAAAAGAAAAGAAAAGTATGTGGAAAGAGAGGAATGAGAGGTTGTTCTAGCTTATTTTCTAAGCAGTTTTGACGGTGTGTGTATGGGTAGGGGGGGTACTCCCTGTGTCCGTGTCGTTCCCAGATGTTGTCGCATCAAGTGGCAGCATGTCTCATGGACAGGTAGACGTGGAAGGGCGGCGACAGGTGAACGGCAGCAGCAGTATGATGTGCATGGTGGCATGTTGGGCTTGTACAAAGACGCAGTCCATCTTCGACCACACACGAAGGAGTTTGTTCGTACCTGTCGGAGTTTTGGAGGGCCCAAGTCAGTCTCAAGCAGCAGTAGGAAGGAGCGAACAGGCGCAGTGCTTCTCTACAGCTTTAGAATCCGTCCTCCTCAAATCCTAACGGAGATGATTACGTATCGCACAACGGCTGGATCCGAATTGCCGGCTAGCTCCGAAAACCAGGAGAGGTGGGGGAGTAGCTCAGACGAATGGCTGCGTGTGCGCTCCTTCATGTGCATACTTGGCTGACTCTTTGAAGGGTAGAATTCTGGTTCGGCGGAATTTGGCGGCATTTCGGCATTTCCAGTATTTGCCATTGTCACCTGGATGCATGGTAATTTTGGCGAGGCTTTTCTTTTTTTGGTTCCAGAAGAAACAAATATGAATCGAAACGGAACATGGGGATGAGGGACCACGCTGTCGGCCCGCGACTAGCCTAGACCCAAAGGGGTTGAGCGCAAGGCACGACTGATGAGGAAACCATTTGCACACAAAAAATTGGGCGCTTAGTTTTCGTGGGAACTGGCACAGACGAGCTCTCGCTGTACAACTACGCGACGGTTCATGCAACTCGATCCTCTCGGTGGAATTAAAACCCCCTCGGCGCAATGATTCGCGTCTCGGCGAAATTACCGCATGTTTTTTTTTTTCTCCCACCATTGGACTCTGTTGTCTGCCCCTCTGGCCCCTATCCTCCACTTCTACCAGGTAGACGAGCCAACGGGTGTCACATAGGAGGGGGGGTTGGACCCCCTCCTGCGGTTCTTGCCTGAGATATATTTATCGCGAGAAGGGTACAGCAATCCCTTCCCTCGCGACTGATGAAGTCGATCAAGTTTACGATAATAACAACGAGCTTTGCAGCGCGTCGCTTCCAACGGAGACTAGGATTTAACAAGCGAGCAAAACCTCACTCTGTCGGGACTCGAACCCATGACCTGGCCCATAGCAGGCTGCGAGGCTACCCACTAGACCACCGGGGCGACCGGTGTGTTGTGGCTGATGAGTGCATTTTGAGTGGGCCTCGACAAACTTATCTGCTGTGCTGTTGATTGAGTGAAACCTCTAGCGACATTAGCATCTCACCGGCTCAGCTGGCTGAATTGTCACCACCCTGGATCAGGTCCTGCCACCTCCTCGCAAAGCTGCCATGACGGGGTCTGCTACCTCTCTGTCGGCATTCCTCCTAGCTAGGGCCACCACCGCTGCTGCTGCCCCCCGAATGCCCTTGAGCCTTCTCCAACTTTTCACGCTTGTTCTTGAGAACGATGTGAGCCATCTCTAAGGCGTTTGAGGTTACACTTGCTTCGGTATTCTCAACATAGACCTGGTGCTTGTTCGAAGACCTGTTGGGGTTCTTCTTGTCGACGAGAGTCGTCGTCAACAGCACCTCTCCGCTACCCGTGTGCAGTCTCCACTCGTGCCGTACAATATGCCTAACCTTAAGTGGCCACAGTATGCCTTCGCACTTGCCCGGCTTTGACACAGGTGCCGCTGGCCCAGCTCCAGCTGCACTCATGTTTGAGCCCGCGCTCAGCTAACTTGTGGTCTGATCACTTTACTGAGTGGCTCTACCCCCCCCTGAATCGACCAAGCTGAATCGATTGCCGAGTTGAAGAAAAACTACTTCGGTCGGGAATGCGGCGAAATGTTTTTTGAAAGGGTTTCCGAACCATTTTCTAGGCGTTCTTCGTGCGGTTCTGAAAGCGTTGAAAAACGACACGGCACGGCTAAACACCCCACCGGTGGGGTAATTTCTCCAATAGGCGCAGGACTTCAACGGGTGTGCTGCTGCGGTGCAGGGCTATCATCGGACCCATCGTGAGGCCGAAACGGCACAGTTTTCGTGGTGCCACGGTCGGCGGGGAACATACCGCCGCTACCCCACTGGTGGGGTCGATAACGTTATTGACCCCACCAGCTGGATCTCCCTCGACAAGGCTCCAATCGACACACAACCACTTGTAGGAGTGTCTGGTCGATGCACGCACAGCGCACAGCAGCGGGCAGCACCTGGGGCGGCGAACAGGTCAAGAAATCCCGCCGCATGACGCGAAACACCCGAAGTGGGTAGCGAACACTGCATTCTATTCTCTTGCAGGTAGACTTCCCCGCTGTCGTATGTAGCCCTACAAGACTCCGATTGGCACAAGACATTTGCGACTGTATCGCTGCGTTGCATGGCTATCGTGGGATCCATGGTGATGCCTGACGATAAAGGTTTGGTGGTGCCACGGCCGGTGGGGTAAACCACGCATAGTCCATGCCCCACCGGTGGGGTGGATAAGGCCAAACACCCCATCAGCAGTATCTCGCCGTACAGGACTCTAATCGAAGCACAAGCGCCATGGTTAGAGCGTGCTGTTCATGCACTCACTGCGTACACCACACACCACACAGTACACAGTACACAGCACTCTGGATTTTTTGGTAATCTATCTTAGACTTACCTCTATAGAGAGATGGATTTGTTGTATGATATTTAGAAAATAGGAGTGGCCAAAATCGGGTACACCCGGCCCCAATCCGGCCATTATCAGGTACACTTGTTTTTCACAGTCGGCAGCACTCTCCTGGCGCCATCTGATTGGCCGACGCCCGCCCCTACCCGGCCCTGGCCCTATTCCTACCGGGTGCACCCGATTTTGGCTACTCA